CACCCGTCACAGGTTTCTTTATACAAAATAATGTTTAAAATTTTAGAAATTGTTAAATATAACTGTAAAGGTAAAGGGAAAAGTAACATCAATCGAAAGGTCTTTTAATTGACTATTTAATTATTATATAAAAACATACTGGGTGTTAAATTTAAAGTAAAAAATTTATTAACCTTTCAAGTTGGCCTCTTAAAACATATTTTTTTTAAATTTCAGTCTGTGATTTAAATATTCGATAAATATTTTTAATTACGAGTGGTATACGGAGGAAAATTTTTTTGTACCAAAAATTAAAATAAAAAAATATTCACCTCGTTGTAATATACTAGCACAATATTCGCTGCATTTTGTACTACTCCAATATTCGATTTTGATTGGTAAAAAATAAAGTGCTTTGGTAAAAAAATGTCTGATTTATTTATGATTCAGAATTACTATCGGAAATTCGATTTAAAATTGATTTCTTAATATTTATTAAAAAAAACTATTGGATAAACTTAATGTGAAATTTGCGGGTATTATTTAAAATAAAAATTAAACATTTAAAAACTATAAGTAGATTACCATCATTACAAGCATATGTTTGTTTATATTAATTTACTATTCTTAAATGTAGATTAAGTGGATCACGACCTTTGCATATCGTTTAAAATGCTGAATGATTTAACAATTAAAAGTGTGAAAAACTTAATATGTAGTGTTAGTATTGCAGTATTATGTATTTATTTATGGTATAAGTGTTATTTGTTTATGAAGATTTTGAGAAAATGAGCCTATATAAAACGGCCATTCAAAATTCACACTTTAGTAATACTTACAGTAAGTACAATTTGTTAGGTTATAAATTTTGTCGAAATTTTTCTTCTGTATTTTTGCACAATAACGGTACTTTTTTAAATAATTATACAGTGTGGCATTTTAACAATTATTAAATATTTCCCGGTGCATCCGCCATTTTTGCAAATTGTACTTCTTTAATTTTGCATTTTGCACTTAAGTAAGTATGCATGAGATTACTAATAATTAATAATAACAATCTATTGTTTTTTTAAATAATGTACTTTAAAAACGAAATTGTGGTACCTAGTTACCAAATAAATCAAACCAAATATCCCTATATAATCCAGTGTTGCCGGATCTTCTAGACAAAAATTACAGATTGATAATTTTGGTTAACATAGTTAACATTTTCGTTTATATTTGCAATACTATGCAGTAAAAGTTAACAAAAATTTATAAGGCACTTGTACATACGAAAAAAAAATCATTAATTTTTTAACGTTAGAAGATATGCATTAATTAAAGACATGGGCTGTATAGGAGATGTATTTAATCTTATAACATGACAATAAAAAAAGATGATTTTTTTCTTTCGTATGCATTTATAAGTATCTGAAAAATTAAGTAGACTCTACTACAAACTAGAATTTTTTCAACATTTTCTCATAGCCACTAATACCGTGCCCGAATTTCCTTTAATTAAATTGTAGATACAAATTGAATATTAAGTTGGCAAAACTAAATCAAATGTCATTTTTTAGTATTTAATATCAAATTTAAATTTAGAGGTTATAAAATGTCAAATTTATTTTTTTTGGTCAAAATTAGGGTTTGTAATGCCCCGTTTTGCTTCGGTCTCCTTTCCCAGATTAGTAGAAAGTAAGTCATGTTTTTTTAGCTTATTTAATGTAAAAATAATTTCTATATTCCAGAAATTTTAAATAATATAATGAAAATTTACCTTCTTATTTCTTAAAATAAATATTGTGATAATTTTACCCTTGCTTGTATTTAAATAATAATTTTAGGAATTAACTAACTGTCAATTTCGTTTTTGCTCTTGTTTACAAATTTATAACCGTATAAATACAAAGGGTGTATTAAAAATGAGATTTGTTTATTGAAATTTGCTGTTTTTATTTTAAAATTTATAATTAATCGTTGTATTTTTAGGTAATTTTTTAAAACAAAAAAGCATCATCATCAGCTAAACATAAGCATAGTTTGTAATTATAACAAACATTTTGTAGATCTAATAACAAAAATCCTTTCAATAATTCAACCATAAATCTTGTATTTTTCAAAAAGGACCATATTTGTACAAACCTTTTTGTAGACCCAGTAATAAAACTATTTGTTGGAAATTGGGAACATAAATGAAAAGAATTTTGATAAGAAATATTGCTTTATTAGTCAACTTCCTAAACAAAAAAATACACATACCTACATAAATGAACACAAAAATAACATACACTCCATTCTGAAATCATCAAATTATTAAAAAATTTGGTACAATATAATTATCTTACTACTATATTATACAACACTTACTATGTATTTTGTATGTATTTTGTAACTTTAACCCACTTTACTGTATTCCCTAATTTCAGTTTGTAAACCAGTGATGGCATCTTTTTTCGCACTTCACACACTCGTTAAATAGGTATAAGAAATACGGATATAAATAATAACATATTTTTGGCAATATATTATAAACACTTTTGACAATTGTTACGAACGTTACGAATTAGAAAAAAATAAGCAGAAACATAAGTTGCAGACGCTGAAGTCAGTTGAACTTGTTGATGCGTATTATTAGTGGAAAATGTTTTAATGGACTGCCTTAAATCACGTGTACTTTTTCAACGAATTAATATGTTAAACAAAATAATATGTAACTTTTGTTAATATAAAATGCTTACAAAATTGGTTTTCTACAAAAAATTATGTTAAAATTAAAAAAAAAACTACAAACTCATGTCAACAAATCTGATTTTTATAACAGTGTAGCATTTGCTTTTAAAATGTGAAATTAAAATTATAAATTTTTCTGATGAATACTAATTAAGTTTCGATAAACTATAATATATCAGGGCTAATATCGAACAAAGCAAATTACAATGTTTTTATTGGCAAATACCATGACATTTATCAAAATCCAGATGAAAAATTAATAGTATTTCCCATATTTCTAAGTAAATCTATTTTTAAGGGAATACTTAAATAGCGAATTTTTTAATTAATTAATTGTTCCGACTTTTACTTGATGAAACTTCATGTTGATATTATGTTAATATAAACTATACTGTTTAAAAGTTTCACTATTTTATTTAAATATAATAATTGTTGTAGCATCTTCAGATCGTATACAAATAAATATTAATTTTCTATTTAATCAAATAATCGTTTTACTGGTAATATTTTTAGTACAATATTGGGATAGATTAAATTACCGTTATACATCAAAGAAACAATAATTATGGGAATGTCCTGTAATATTTAGTTATATAACACTAAACTTTTTGAATATATTAAAGTTTAATAGCGGCAAATTATTGGTTTCTATTTGGTCATTGGGATAATAAATTCAGTTTTTCATATGTAAGATTTTAAAGTTATAATTGAAATTATGGTTGTCATTGATAAGATGGTTTGCTTTAAAACTAACGAATATAGGAAATCATTTATAAACAGATTCCACCTTTGCAAACCATCTTATCAATGACAACCATAATTTCAATTCTAACTTTAAAATTTTACATATGGAAAACAAAGGTATAAAACAGAATTTGTTGGAGTCCTTGGAAAACTGATATTATTCTCAATGACCAAAAAGAAACCAATAATTCACCGCTATTAAACTTATTTAAATAAATTCAAAAAGTTTAGCATTTTATAAATATAAAGATTACAGGACATTCCCATAATTATTTTTCCTTTAATTTATAACGCTAATTTAATTTACTCCCAATATTGTACCAAAAATATTACCTTTAAAACCATCATTTATATAGTAAATAAAAAATTAATATTTGTTTTTATACGATCTGAAGATGCTATTGTGTAGCGAAACAATTGTCATATTTAAATAAAATAGTGAAACTTTTATACAGTGTAGTTTTATTAACATAATATTTTTTAGTTTTTGCTTCATTTCAAACTCAGAGGAATATTCGATAAATCATGTTTATTGGCTATGGTTAATTTGAAATTAAATTTTGATAAAATTCAGATAAAAACTCAGTTTTCGTTTATTTGCCATTTTCTTTAGAACACATTAATGTTATTATTAGGGATGGGATTTTAGTTATTTTACCTTTTTTCAACCGATGCATCGCGATGTAACTATTTGAAAACCAATAATGCCAAAATGTGTTTTAAAAGATTTTCTTTTATATGAACCTACCTTTTTATACTTTTGTTACCTATTTTTTAATTTGTTAGTTTATTTTCACCTATTTATTTATTACCTATTTTTACGTATTTTTACTTATTTTATTTTTTTGTGTTCTTTTTAAATTTTGCGCCAATATTTTATCCAGGGCGTGCAACTCTTTTCTTATGGTCACAGACTGTAGCAGTAACTTTCTTTGCAGTTACCTTCTTTGTAGTGAGCTTATGTTCTGTCATAGAACTTCTGTGTAGTGAGTGTCACTCAGTGAAACACAGTTTATTGCATAGAAATAGTTTATTGTGGGTATGTTCTGTGTTTGGGTATGCGGCTAAACAAAATTATAAAAAATGCCCAAAACCAAAGAAAATCCTCCAAATAAACTCAGCAGTTGGATAGAGGGGAAGAATAAGATATTTTCTATTGACGGAAAAAACTTATTTTGTAGAGTTTGCTGTAAAATTGTAAGGACTTTGAGGTTATGTTAAAACATCTTTATTTAATTTATATACATTTTAGCTATCTGTTTGTTACTCTAGTAGTAAATTTGGTAAATATAAGGTATTCCCAGTTATATTTTCAGTTCCTTATAGCTTTAATTAACTATAGGTCAGTTTATAAAAAAACATTCTATGTTACTTATTTTATAAAAATAAACGAAACTTGAACTTTTTATGTTTTTTTTTTACCTAAAATGCTGATTTTTTTAACCTAAAATGCTTCTTTTAGTACCTTTTTAGTTACCTATTTTTCAGTTGTTAGTACCTAAATATCCCATCTTTAGTTATTATCACGGTTAAAAATTGTAAAAAGTAAATTTATTTTTCAGATGAAATGCTCGAAGCGGAAAACAGCGGCGTCGCCGACCGCCTGTTGGACTTGGAGCGCAAAGTTCTCGAGCAAGGCGACGAGCTGGTGTGCCTCAAAGCCACCCTGGCCGAGGCCCTTCGCCGACTAAGCGCCTTGGAGGGCCTGCGGGCGAACAGCAACCCGTCCACGCCGACCACGCCGGTGCGCTTGAACGGCAACGCCACCAAAATACAAATTGGAAGGCCGCGATCCGTCAACTACACGCCCACCAGGAACGAGAGTCCCAGGAGGCCGTACGGCGACAAAAATGGAGGTACGATGGATTTAAGGAAACGAGGTTTTTACAAATTTTCTTTTACGATGTAAAACGGTTATTTTTTGTTTGTCCACATCATATCTATCCCGGCACTAATTTTTTAAAGTACTACACTCTAATAAGTCTTTTTGATCAAAGCAAAGTACAAAAAGACCTTCTGGCATACAACATTTTATCTTCAAGGCACTGTTTGTTATTTGAATAGCTACAAGGTCGGTCTATGGCACGCCGTTTTAACATTTATTAAATAATTTTTTAATTTAAAATTTTATTGGTTTAAAATTTTCCTAAGGGGCCGTCCATAAATTACGTAACACCATTTTTGCCAATTTTTGACCCCCCTCCCCCCTGTGTAACACTTTGTCACACTTGGGCAAACCCCCGCCCTAAAATTACGTAACACTTTGGCTTACCCCCCTAAACTCAAAAAAAAAGGACAAAACATATATTTAGTTAATAACCAAAAAAAACAAAAAATATACTCAGTCAACAGAATCTTAATCTTAAATCAAACAAAAACCAAAATCTTAAAAATCTAAGCTTATTACAAACAGGTAGGTAACAAAATCTTACTATTAGGTTATTAAGAATCACTTAAGCAGTAGTATGGGTATTTTTCAGTCGTCAAAACTTTTCCATGGTGTTGAAATGGCATTTTCCATGGATATTACTTCTATGCTTGCGTTTTCGTAGATATATTCGGCAACAGCAACATTTTCTAAAACATCTTCATCAATCCACTCTAACTCCTGATCTGTTTTATCAAGTTGCACCAAAAATTCCTTTTGTCTTTTAGCTGCCACCCTTTCTGGTCTAATTCTTTTAATATTTGCCTCTCGCCCGCAGTCTTTTTGGTGGCTGAGTATATATTTTAGCGAAGCCCCATAAAGCCCACATTTCTTGCAGATTCGTTTCTGCAAAGCTTCTTTTACTGAAGGACATATGATATCATATGGGACTTCTTTAACATTCTTAAATAATAAGGGTGCATTTAACCTGTCCTTTAGAGAAAGAGTACCAAACAAATTCAAGAAGTGTCCTTGTTCTTTAATGGTTAACGCATCTTTATTATACCCTACTGATATTGGAGGAGGCAAGAATCTATTCGGGAAAAGCTCTTTAAATTGGCTTCTAAAAGCCGAACAACAGCTGCGATCATCGCATTTCACAATTTGTAAAAAGTACTGGCTACTTCTCACATTTTATTTTATAATTTAAATGAAGGTTCAAAAGTGTTACGTAACAAAGTCGTAAACCCCCCCTCCCCGCCTCGTAACACTTTGTCACACTTTGAGCAACCCCCCCCCCCCTTCGCGTGTTACGTAATTTATGGATGGCCCCTAACTAAAAATTTTTGGTTTACATTTATAAATTTAAAATATTTTCAACTATCATGTATTGAAAGACAAAATTTACTAACTAACAGTTCACTTCTGTTTTAAACAATATTATTTTCTATCAATTTTTGCAAAAATTTCATCATTTTTTAATAAAAATAATTTCCCAAGTATAATTTATTTGGGTGGCATTTTGTAAACTTAAATAAATATTTTATAAAATTATTGAAATTAATTTGGTAAAGTTACATTTTTTAGTATTTAAAAATAGTATCAAGCCATTTAAAATAAAAACACATATAAAACATTTTCTACCAAAATAGTTTAAAAAGTTAAATTTTTGTAAACTCATAACTATTGATAATCAACAAATATTTTAAATATAAAATGAAACTGTAAAAGTTTAAGTTTAAAAATATTGTTTAAAAAAAATGGAATTTTAAAATTTTATTCTTCAAAATTATTGGTTTGAATTTGTAAAGAGTCATTTAAATGATGAACATTACATTAATGTTAGTTTTAAATTTTAAAGTGGTAATTTTTGCATTAAAAATTGATCGACTATAATTTAAATGACTCTTTACAAATTTAAACCAATAACTTTAATTTTTAATAATTTTAAATTGATACATTTTTAAGACAAAATTTATAACTTTACATTTAAATGTAAGTCGATAATTTTTAAATTACAAGTGTAAACGTAGCTTTAGTAGAAGGCACAAGAGTCTGGGATTGGAGCCACGATGCAGCCAGTTTGATGCGCAATGTTGACAAATCGTGCTTGCTCCATAAATATTTGACGCGTTTTACAAATGATCGTAATGAAATGTTTCTTTATTACATAAATTTAATAATAAAACAACATTTTTAGTGCCTATTGTACTAAGTAAATTTGACAATTAAAAAACATTTTTTCTAATTTTTAAGAGACATTTTTTTTTAAATGTAGTGCCACAATATTTCGTGGATGCATCATACAAATTCCCGCTTTCCGGCTTTTGTGGTGAGGTGAGGTGATTTATATATTGTCTTCCTTCCTTCTTCCCTCTTCCCGTAAAAGATGAACAATACGTACGGGATTGTATTGTTTATCTTCTACGGGAGGAAGGAAGGAAGGCAATCTATAAATCAGGCTTAACACTTAATTTCACCACAAAAGCCGGAAAGCGGGAATTTGTATGATGCATCCACGTAATATTGTGGCACTACATTTTAAAATTTTTTCTCTTTAAAATTAGAAATTTTAAAATTAACTTAGTACAATAGGCACTAAAAATGTTGTTGTTCTATAATTTATTTAATAAAGAAACATTTCAATACGATAATTTCAAAAACGTATCAAAAATGTATGGAGCAAGCACGATTTGGCAACACTGCGGATCAAACTGGCTGCATCGTGGCTCCGATCCCAGACTCTTGTGCCTACTAAAGCTACGTTTACACTTTGTAATTTAAAAATTATCGACTTACATTTAAATGTAAAGTTATAAATTTTGGCTTAAAAATGTATCACTTTAAAATTGTTAAAAATAAAAAATGTTGGTTTAAATTTGTAAAGTCATTTAAATGATGGTCGATAAATTTTTAATCCAAAATTACTACTTTAAAATTTAAAACTTACATTTAAATGTAATGTGAGAATTTTTGTATTAAAAATGTATCAACTATCATTTAAATGACTCTATAAAAATTTAAACCAATAATTTTGTAGAATAAAATATTATAACTAAAACTTTTAAAAATCAATATTTTTAAACTTAAAGTTTTACAGTTGCATTTTATATTTAAAATATTTTTTGACTATCAATTATGTTGAATTTAAAAAAATTTAACTTTATAAATTTCTGTTAAAACATAATTTAAGTGCTAAACTTTAATCTTTAAACTTTTACCTAATAAATGCTAAAACGGCGTGCCATATTGGTCAGAGAAAAGTTGCGTAGTTAAGTCTATAAACAAAAAAAACTGAAAACATGTCAAATCCAAACATGGCCATAATTTTGTTATCCCTGTGCATTTAAAAAAAAGTAATTTTTACATATAAACATACACATTTATCTAAATTTTTACCAATTTGTGTTTTTTTCACCTAGTAGATTTTTAGTTACCAACACCATTTTTTTGTTTTTACATAGTAAATTGACGATGGTAACATGTAGAAATTACTTTTTTTTAAATTCTCAGAAATAACAAAGTTATAAAGTTTTTGGTCTTAAAAGTTTTTTTTTTAAATAGTTTAAGAACCGCTGCAGCGCGCTGGCTTTTTTCCAATTAATACATTTTTTTAGATCTGTTTTCTCTAATTTGACCGACATTGTAGCTCTTCAAATAAAAAAATACCCATAAAAGGAAAACTTTCAGAAAAATTCAGCGCTTGTTGCCCTGCACAAAATTTCAAGAAATGTTTGTAACTATCATTATATAATTACTTGGACTTTGCCAAAATTACTAAATTAATAATATATATATATATATATATATATATATATATAAATTTATTAATACATCTGTCTAACCTTGCATTTTCTTAAATTTACAGATCATTATAGTCTAACCTAACTTTGTCCCAATTCAAGTGCTGCCACTGGCGAGAAGAAAAGAATTGATTACAATTTAAAAATAGTCAAAACGTCATTAGGACAATAATAATAATAATCTTTATCTGAAATCGGTAGTAAAGTAGTCAACAATCGGCAGTAAAGTAAAAGAAATCGGAACTTTACTGCCGATTTAATACGAGTATTGTATGCAACCAGTTATACATTTTAAGATGTGTCTACTGCTCCTCAGCAGCAACTAAATAATATTTAAAGAAAAGCGGAGGTCGATTGGACCCTTTTATAAAATGTTGTTTAATAAAATTTAATTTTATTAATTAGATTAAAAAATCACCGCGGCGGGCAAATATATAATAACCGTCGCAACAAACAGTATACGTAGACACTTCCTACATTCAAATGACATTTGATTTAATCATCAATATTAATTATTAGAATTATTAAATGCGATTTCGGATAAAATTTAATATACACCTCGGCATTAAAGTCATTTTTAAAAAAATACGACTTTACTGCCTTGATACATAAATAACTATTATTTAGAAACAGCTATAAATAACAATGTAGTCATAACAATAACAAAAAAAAATACATCAATTCAAAAATAAAACCTTAAAATTTATCTTTTATATACAATTTGAGTTTAGTTTTAAATATATTATAATTATAATAGACTTAAAAATGTTGAAGGTTTTCCTTATGTTATATTGTTTTAGTAGTTGACTAGTTAACAGGCGGTAACAAAATGGCGAATGCGCCGGGATTAATTAATTAATAAAGAATTTGTTAATAACTTGACTAAGGCGCCACCTATCGTCCTGAATCGGCCAAGTCGTTCAGAAGTTACACTAGTACAGGCACAGTCGCACCCAATATTATATTATATACAGGGTATCCCAGAAATAGCACAAACATAAAAATTAAAATTATTTAACGCAAAAATAAATAAAAATAACAAACATTTTTTTAATTATTTTTTAATTTAATTTTAGTATATTCGGGATCTTCTCTACCTCAAAGACGAGCCGTCCACTATCAGTCAACGGGAAGCCTGCACAGCGACAGTCAAAGTAGTAGCAGCGTAAGTCCCGTGCCCTCGCCCTCCCCCAGAAGCACGCCACTGCCATTGAACACCGCCGGGCGCCGCACGCCTTCCAGTCCCAACGTCACCAACAACTCCAATTCCCTACACAAACGATGGAGTTCGACGGGCGATTTTACTGCGCAGTCTTCGGCAAACGGGATGCAGTCCAAGTAATAACCATTTCTTTATTCAATAAACTTGTTCCAATATTCCTTTATTCTCTTCTATTTTAATAAAAGCAACAAAATACAAAGTGCTTGATATTTGATCTGACTTCTGTCAAGTATCAAGCACCTCACTTTTTTCAATTTTAACCTAAAGCTAACTTTAGCCTGTGGGCAAAATACTATTTTGCCCACCGGTTGAAGTTAAGAAATAAAATGGGTGTTGAATATTATACTATTAATAACCTAATTTCATTACGTTCACTTTTAATTTTTAGCATGCTTACTTTACGTTCTGTCAAAAAAAGTTTTGGAAATTTGTCATTTAAGATATTTAAATAAAAAAGTTATGTAAGTGCACAATCCACCCAAGGTCTGTTCTATCTCATGCTAAAAATACTAAAAATCTCTGCAACACTGCACAGAGTTTAACGGCGGCCATTTTTGTTGTTTACAATTCTTGTGCTTTGGGTTTGTGCTGTTTAATAATTGTTTTAAACGTTGTGTTTCTTACAGAGGCACTTAAAGCCTCAAATAAGTGCTAAGGACAACCATTTTACTCCTCTTTTATAATAAATATACCTTATTCTATCAGGGCTGTCAAATGAAAATTTGTGGGTTATAATTAACATTTGACAGTTTTATGACAGCCCTGATAGAATAAAGTTTATTTTTTACAATAGAGGAGTAAAATGGTTGTTCTTAGCACTTTAAGGCCTCTTTTAAGGCTTACTATGAGAAACACAACGTTTAAAACGATTATTAATTTGTATAAACAGAGCACAAACCCGAAGCACAAAAATTGTAAACAACAAAAATGGCCGCCGTTAAATTGGGCAGTGTTGCAGTGATTTTTTGTATGTTTAGTACGAGATAGAACAGACCTTGTTGTGTGGATTGTGTGTAAGTGTATCCACCAGAGTTTGAGCATCTGACAAGCCGTTTGTATACAACACTTTCTGTTGATATACTAAATTTACCTTAGGTGTGATCTGCAAATTTCACTGTAGAAAAAGCTATTTAAAAAAAAAATTCTCTAAAAGTATGGGTTTACCTCATAAGGTCAAATATGATTTTTTAATAACAAACTAACATTATAAGAAAGCAACTTAAAATTCAAACCAAAAACGAAATAAACTGCTTAGTTTTCATTGGGCAACCGACAAATATAAATTTTATACAAAAAGAAGAATATAACAGCTTTTAATATTCTAGGCATGGAACTAATTAAATTTTGCATGTTGTAATTTTTTTCCAAATTGTTCCACTAATGTTGAATGACACCATATCTATTTTTCGGTCTAAACTCATAGTTGCAACTTTTTTTACAAGACATCCCCACATATTTTAGATTGGGTTTAAATCGGGGCTTTTCGAAGTCCAAGGAATCTTGGTTATGTGATTTTTTTTAAATAATTCAAAGTTTGATACCTCAACGTCATCGCTCGACAACGGGGGGCAATCAATGGCTGATAACGTTGCGGTATCAAACTATAGCGAACTATACGAAACACATAAGCAGTGGACCTGGCTAGTTATCCCTAAAATAAAAAAATATATAATCAGGCAAATGTATATAAAGAGATGTTATGTGTCGAAATATAAAATCGATATTAAATTTTTTTTGGCACTAATTTGTACTCACTACACCTTACATATTTTTTATTTAATGCTCGGTACTCAGTACTTTTTTGACAGAATGTATTACTTAATTATTTGTTTTTGTTACGTATATGCTTTTAACACTTGTATTGTATTGTATTTAATAGTAATACTAACATTATTGTTTCTTATGTTTTTTTTATTTTTTATGTTTTTCTTTGCAGATTTTCAACAAAATCATTTTTAAACCTATACACAAAACCCAATGGGTATCCATCACAAAATCTTAAGCATGGGTATGTTTTTTTATTTTATTTTTACCATTATTCCCTGTATATTTTTAATTTATTTATATGAATGTTTATCGTACATTGTTTACATTTATTTACGGTAGTTAAAAGTTATTGATCAATTAATTGAATTCAATAAATACGCGTGTTCGGCCCACCTTAAATTAGGTATGCAAATTTCCATCGGAAATTATTAAATATTATATAAGAGAGAAGCAATTTGTTAAACTTTATTGATCACAGAATTATAGGTGACGTGGGTGAAATCCAAGCTAATAAGGTAGAATTTATGGGCAATTTAAATAATTAATTTTATAATAAAATATTTGCTACATCCTATTAAAACATTATTGAGGTAGGTACATTGTAGGTACATTGCCTGTTGTTTTTTACATATGTTTATAGAAGCTTATAGAAAATTTACAATTTAATTTGTTTGCAATTAATTATTACAAAAATAGTTGGAAAATTATTGTATACCGTTTAATGCACGACTTTTATGAAAATAATAGAAGAGCGACATCTATAAAACAATAGAGTAACCATTCCAACTTGGGAATCTGTATTCCCGGCGCTCCAGTCAAAATTCTAAATTGTGTGAAGTGTAAATCAAAATGTATCCCTTAAAATGGACTAACCACCGTTTAAATACGATATAGAAGCAGGTTTTTACATTGAAAGTAAAGATAATGTTTTTTGGGCACTCCAAGGTGGAATCTCGACCCGAAATTTTTAATGTTAAATTTAGTTTACTGGCGGCAAAATCAAAACTTGCATTTAAACTATTCAAATATTGGCGTTAACAAACTATTTAATACTTTTGTATTTTTGTAGTAAGATAATAAAATAATTTTTACATTTAGTATTATTTTAGAAGAAGGACACTTTATTTTAACGATTATATGACATTAAAAATGCCAGACATAAAACTAACTTCAGCCCGTGACTAAAAACTCATTACTAACTTCAGCCCGTGCCTAAAACGCCATGAAAACATATATGATATTGGGCGTTTTAAAGGTGGGAGTAAAAAAATCATTTTTATTAAACAATTTTTAATTAATATATTTTGTTTTCTGTCACTTTTATAAAGTTCAAGTGATGAATCATGCTGTACATGTGTACCAGAAATATTTTAATGTTATCTACTACTTATATCATTAACTAAAGATAACATCCCACAAAAATTACGTCAAGCCTCCACATTTACCAAATACAAAAAGTTCAAAAATTTTAACATTAAGTATATTTGCAAAGTATAATATAATATTTAAATAACCTCCCACAGAATATAAAAGCATATTTATTATTGCCATAAGTACCTACTTCAAAAATACAACAAAATATTATAACAATTTAGAAATATTCATGTCTATTTATTAATAAAATCCAAACATTTTATTTTAAATTACGATGTAAAAATTATAGACATAAATTGTATTGCAAATAGTTTAAATTAATTATAACAACAACAGTTTAAACAGATCTTTTAGCTAAAAAAAAAACTCGATGTTCTTGTTACTTGGCCAGCCATTCGTAACGTTAGTTCGTTAAAAACGAATGTTAGTAAATTTTATCAGTGCCGGTTTAGATACAGCCATGTTCAGGTATTTAATAAAATCATTTATCAAATGATCAAAACTGGTGCAATCCGATTGTAATGGTCGAAAGAAAACTTTACAAACCTATTTTTTATTGATCACGTTGCGGTATTATAGTTTGTATCAGTTATTGTTAATAAGTGGCAGCGAATTTATGCATCATGTTTAGGTAATATAATCAAGTCTATTTTTGGCAACATTGCTTCAAGGTTATAATATCCAGTTTATTTATAGTGTAGTTAATTGTTTTTTATGCATTAAACCATCATATTACTTCTGATAGTTTTAATATAAAATAAAAAGTGACATCCATTCGCTTCTATAGTACAGTTGTATTCATTAAAAAAGCGTACAAGAATTAGAATGAGAGAAAACTGTCAACATTATTGCGTAAAACCGGCTTTCCACTGACTTAAGTCACTATAACTGACAGTAGAAAATAAAAATGCCTCGTCAGTTAAAAAGGCTCAAATAGTATCAAGAATCGAAGAAGAATGGTCAATTCGTACCGTGGTATAATAGAAATAAAAAATCTATATTAAAAATTAATAATTTTTGTAATATTATTTAATTAACCTACGACGTCAATGCTCTTTATAACCTATAGTAATTATTTTAATGACTTATGTCAGTGATAAGCCGGTTTTAAGCAATAATATTATTTTGACAGTTTTCTCTCATTCTAATTCTTGTACGCTTTTTTATTGAATACAACTGTAATTTTAAAATCGCATACATTTACGAAAACCCAGCAACACGTAATAGTGTGGGCAATAGGTAGCCATCTCGTTGGTACCAGAATATGTAGTTTTTATTTAATATGCACAATGTATTACACACTAAAAGATATATCTTATAATCATAGCGGAGCAGATCCGGTGATCTTGCTGGCCAGCAATTGTACCTCCATTTGATATCATTCTTTGAAGGAATATTGTTTCTATATAATTAGTGACAACCTTGGAATTACTAGCAGGGCTCCCCTTTTTTTGGAGATTCGAATAGATTATGAAATTGTGATTTTAGCAATATACTCATTTATAGATACCATATTTTAATATTTTCGAAGATATTAATTATTAAAAGTGTAAATAGTTTTTATTAATGTTTTGTTGTTTTATATTTTTTATTAAAATTTTGATCAAATTAAAAAGTGTTTATAGAAGAAATGTTCATAAACTTTTATTTCATTTCCTGAGAGGTGGATTGGCAGACGAGGACCTATAGAATGGCCAGCGAGATCTCCAGATCTCACCCCTTTCGATTATTTCTTATGGGGCTACCTTAAATCAAAGGTCTACATCAACAAACCACAAAATTTAGAAGACCCGAAAATCAAATTATTGCGAACCAAACAATAATTGCAAAATTAAAAAAAAATAAAAAATGATTTTTTACACAAATGCTGAAATGTTCGAAATGCCTTGTTACCTTTACGTTTTGGAGAATTTAGAATCATTTTTTATTTTGCAATTATGGTTTGGTTTTGTTACTTATTCTAACATTAAAATAAATTTTGTTTAATTAGTAAAAAAAAATTATTTTTTTTTTAAATTGACCATGTTTTTAAACATAAAAGTTGATTTTTCTCGAAAACGGTCAACTTTAGAGCTTACGACCAAGAGTACCTTTTTTGTGTAGAAAACATTGGCGGTTCGAATAGGCCTCTCAAAACCGTACATTTTTCAGGGGCGTAGAAGTTGAGGAGAAAAACACCCGCTACCCCTTCAAAATCTCCACCAATTATGAGGAAAAATTTTTTTTTCTGGCACAAAACAGCTTATTTTGAGTAGAAAATGCTTACAAAAGCTGTTTTTTGTACGATAAACGGTTCCGGAGATATTCGAAAAAAACGATTTTTTTTCTAAAATTTCAACACCCTGTATCTCGAAAATTGTGCATTTTAGAGCGTAAGTTATTAGCGACTTTTTTCATCTTTTTGGATGAGTTATCACATCCTGAAGTCCTGCGCATATATTATGAAACACCCTGTATTTAAAAAAATATTACTTTGATCGCAATTTTATCTCAAAACTAATTTTAGAACGAAAGACACCACCTTCAACGAAGAAGAACAAAGCATCCGCGTGTACCTCAGGGGTCGACCCGTAATCCTCCACGCCCCCACCGACCTAGGTGACAACTACGACCTTCTCAAGGTGGCCGCTCCGCCCCAACAGAGGCTCAAACTCGACTGGGTCTACGGCTACAGAGGCAAAGACTGCAGGTCGAACTTGTATTACCTGCCCACCGGCGAGATGGTTTACTTCGTGGCCGCAGTGGTGGTGCTCTATAACGTGGAGGATCAAAACCAGAGGCACTATTTGGGGCACACTGACGATGTCAAGAGTCTTGCGATTCATCCCAACAAGATGCTGGTGGCCACCGGGCAGTGTGCTGGTCTGGATAGGAGAGATGCCAGGGTAAGAGTAATAGAGTTTGCAAAACTTAAATCAATAATCAAAATGTTAACAAATAATTCTGCCGCCCTGATAAAGAAAGTAGGCTCTCTGCCATTTGTTAGTTGTCCCTAGCATTTCTTATTAAAAAAGAATAACTTGAGACAGCTAATTTAGTAGATTCATAAATTAGAACTTAAAATAACAAAGATTAATAGAACATTTTTCAATTAAATATAAAAATATTTTTAATGTCTTAATTAAGGTTAAAAGTTAGCATCACACTCTATAACCCCATGTCCCCATCATATTGCAATAGTGAAAACTTGGCCCAGTTCAGGGGTCTCACACTTTCTGCCCGTGTAGTGTATACTATTTTTCTTGCTACCCGGCAGAAAATACGGGAAAAAATTAAATGTGTATAAAAAAACTTGTGTCAAAATTAAAATATGACGTTTAATTTAATTCTGACGTTTACATTCAAAATCAATCAAACTGTAGCGTTGTCATGGTAGCGGGAGGAAATGAAACTTTTCTTACTACCTCGGCCGAAAATACGTATAGCCTTGACCAATGCATAAAACGTAAACTTTCTGCCGTGGAATCGGGAAACAACGTATTTTCTGCCGGGTAGCAAGAAAACAATTTTGTTATACATTTAGTGTCTCTGAAATATTTTGTATTTCTAATTACAAAGCCTAAGATCTTGTAGGCTTTGTTTACCGTCCATGCGCTACATGAAGCAATCCATCCATAGACACGTGAATTTTCCAATCTTGGAACATCCACTAAATCTATTGTACAAATCACAAAATACCTCGCTAAAAGGTCAAAGCTTGCAATATTGTCCAAAAATACAGGTATATTTCTATACCCGGAATCCAATTTTGTCCCTACTAGGTCGAAAAGTCATCTATAATTCATACTTTTCATAAGGTACGGTTATGTTGGTGCTAGTGTGCGGATCGCTCAATGAAAAGTAAACAAAACGCGTTCGTGGTTTGTTTCATGGATGATATTTTTATATATGAAAATTCCGACTCTTTCCATAATAGTAAAAAACCCAAATACGTTGCTTTAGAATCATACAAACCCATTATTCTTTGTACCATGATACAAACCTGTTCAAAAACACACCTTAGCAGTTTATTATTTTATTTTATCTGGTAGGTACCTATGTGGATGTGGATACCCACTTTTTTTATCAGGACGGCAGTATTACTTGCATGTTTGTTTATTCTGACTGGTGACTTCTCTAGAATTGTTATTTAAATAACAATATGAGTACTTGCAAAACAACCCATTGTGATAATAAACTTTAAATTTTTTCAGCCTCATATTAGAGTATGGAACTCAGTATCGTTAACCACACAAGCTATAATTGGAATGAACGATTTCGATGTATCGGTTTGCTGCCTTTCGTTTAGTAAAGCAGACGGTGGTACTCTTCTTCTGGCCATAGACGAATCTCCAGACCATACCATATCCGTTTGGGACTGGCAAAAAGGCGAAAGTGGATGTAAAATAACCGAAACAAAGGTAATAAACAGCAGCAAACATATTTTTTTGAAATACAACAAACTTTTTATCATTGTAGTGTTCTGTTGACACAATTGTAGCAGCTGAATTCCATCCGTTAGACCGAAATACCATAGTGACATGTGGTAAATCCCACATTGCCTTTTGGTCGCTGGATGTGAACGGTACGCTTTTCAAACGCATGGGGATATTTGAGACCCGTGATAAACCCAAATACGTGACCGCAGTTGCGTTTTTGCAAACAGGAGAAACCATTACTGGCGACTCCAGTGGTAACCTAGCAGTTTGGGGTAGAGGTACAAACACAATCTGGAAATTCCATAAGAATGTCCATGATGGCGGTATTTTCTCTATTTGCGTTCTAAAAGATGGCAGTATTATAACTGGGGGCGGTAAAGATGGAAGAATATTTGTCTTTGACCCGTCCTTAACGCTAACAGGAGAATACAGCCAAATTGAGAACCACTACGGTGGCGTTCGCGTTATATCGGAAGGCCAAGGTTCGCAACTCTTGATAGGTACAACGAAAAATTGCATTCTCAACGGGACGTGTACCTTGGGTTTCCAACCCATAATCCTGGGCCATACCGATGAGTTATGGGGTCTGGCTGCCCATCCCGGCATTCAGCAGTTTGCAACCGCTGGGCACGACAAGGTTTTGCAGCTGTGGGACTCCCCCTCCCATAGCATACTGTGGAGTAAAGACATCGAGGAACAGGCTCAATCGGTGGCCTTTACGAAAGACGGCATGCAGGTGGTGGTTGGCTGCATGAACGGCAAATGGTTGAGTTTTGACACCCAGACCAGGGATCTCATAAGCAGTCATCACGACGGCGTGGAACCCATACAAGTCATACAGTTCACGCTGGATGGTAGTATGGTAGCTCTTGGATCTAGAGATAATAACATCTACATATATCAAGTTTCTGATGATGGAACTAAGTATAGTAGGGTTGGAAGATGCGCAGTAAGTATTTTTTATTTTTCAATGTCTTGATATTTACGAAATGTGGGTAGATTAGTTGTAGTTAGTTGTGATGGTAGATTTATATTTTAATATTAAAGAATGACATTTTTGTGCTGCTTAGGGAGTTAGAAAAAATAGGTCTAAAAAAAGAGGGGTAAAATACATGAATACTTTTAATTTTGGCAATGTTTTAAATGTAAATTTTTTTTCAGGGTCATTCCAGCTTTATAACTCACCTTGATTGGGCAACAGACGGACAAACGCTTAGAAGTAATTCTGGAGATTACGAAATATTATATTGTAAGTACCCCTATATAATAATCATATATTTTTTTTTTAAACAACCACCATGTTTAATTTTAAATGTGAGCACAGAATATTTTTTCTCGTATTTTAGCCTTTTTTCTATGCTTACATTTTTTTTCCTATCTAAACTTTGTATTAGCCAGAATAAAAACGTCAGTATCTGATAGGGTGTTCCAAAAGTCGTTCTTGAATAATTAAAAAAAAAAAATTCCTAAGAAAATCGCGATCTGTTGGTACTTTTAGGAAATACAATTAAAAACGTCACATCATCTTGCATTATGTCAATGTCCAACACAGCCTCTGAAACGTTCAAATATTTAAAAAACCGAAAACATCGACCTAATGTCTTATTGTCTCTATTTTTCTTTATCAACCAATGACTTTTTTGTTACCTACCTCAGGTAAAAAATTAATTTAAAAATCTAAAACTTTGGAAGCATGTTTAGAAGTGAAAAAAAGTAAGAAAAATCCTTGTTTGAAAAAAAATTATAAACAAATTATGACTTTTTAACACTTTTTTAGGATTTGTTCTTTTATTTTTTTTTAAAAGTGGTCGGTGCTCGGGCTAAAAATTAATTTACAAATCTAAATTTTTGGGAGTACCAGGATAGTAAAAAAGTAAAAATAAAACTCGTTTGAAATTATTTTTTTTAAATTAGCTTTTCCCACTTTTTTTAGAATTTGTTCCAATTTTTTTGTTTTTTATCTGAATTAATTGGAGTACCTTCAGGATAGTAAAAAGTCTGGTTTGAATTTTTTCCCCCACTTTTTTAGGATTTGTTTTATTAAATCTGGTCGGTGCTAAAAATTTGAATTTTTGGTAGTACCTTCAGGATAGTAAAAGAGTAAGAAAAAACTTCGTTTTTATATTAAAAGTGGTTGGGGCTTAGGTTAAAAATTAATTTACAAATCTGAATTTTTGTAAGTACTTTCAGGATAGTAAAAAATAAGAAAAAACATCGTTTTTTTTTATCATGAGTTTTTCCCACTTTTTTAGGATTTGTTTTAATTTTTTTAATAAAAGTGGTCAGGGCTCAAGTTAAAAATTAATTAACAAATCTGAATTTTTGGGAATAGCTTTAGGATAGTACCACTTTTTTAAGATTTGTTCTAATTTTTTATTAGAAGTGCCGACCACTCAGGTAAAAAATTAATAAAAAATATGAATTTTTGGGAGTACCTTCAGGATAGTAAAAAACTGAGAAAAGACCTCATTTGAAATTTTTTTTTAATTATGAGTTTTTCCCACTTTTTAGGATTTGTTTAAATTTTTTTAATAAAAGTGTTCGGGGCTCAGGTTAAAATAGTTATTTATGTATTAAGGGCATAATAAGGTTTTTATGGTCCGAGGCGCTATTTCGAGCCCGAGCGCGTTAGCGCGAGGGCTAGAAAAGCGTCGTAGGACCATAAAAACCAGTTATGCCAGCAATGCATACAAAACTTTATGCACGATTAATATATTATTATTTTTAATATATTATTGTTTTAAAAGACGTTTACGTCAAAGAATTTTTGTTATAATTGTCATATTATAATGTCAACTGACATCAGTCAGTTTTAAAGTTTAAAGATAAATGAAATTGAGGAAGCAGCTGAAAAGGCGAAAAATTGCGGCCTGCTGCCGGTAAAATCAAAATCTTTATACGAAAAAACTTACTTCGAATATATCAAATGGTGTAACATTGTTGTTTTTAATTTTTGACGTTTCATTATAGCCCGCTGGGCCATAATAACGCCCGCGGGCTGTAAAAAGACGTTTACGTCAAAGAATTTTTGTTATAATTGTCATATTATAATGTCATCGTGCATAAATTAATTTACAGTTAGCGATTGTCAAAATATTTAAAAAAAAACAAAAACCTTTCAAAACCTAAAATCCTTAAAACTTTTTTATTCTTGGGAATTTTGATACAAAGTAAGTTTTACACGTTATCATACACTTTAATCTACATTTTCACCCAATTTCTTTGCTGCTATGTTTTGAGTTACCACACCATAGTTTCAAGAAGATAATTAAGTGGAATATAAATGATGACTTGATTTTAAAATATTTGATTTCTCATTAAAAAAAGTCCGGGCCCTTGGGGAACCCCCCCAGACAATAAAGCAATTTGTTTTTAAAAATCTCTTGTATTTTCTTAATAATGATAGTTTACGTCTTTCTATTTTTAGGGAACGCTGGAACTTGTCGCCAAATCCCTCAAAGCGGAATGATGAGGAACGTAGAATGGGCAACGAACAATTGTATACTTACCTTCACCACTATCGGAATTTGGCCGGAAAATGCCGACGGTACAGACGTAAATGCATGTGACCGAAGCAATAACAAACATCTTTTGGTTGCCGGTGATGACTTTGGTAAAATCAAACTTTTTGGATATCCAACCATACAACCAAGAGTAAGCAATTCACTAACTAAGAGTTAAGTTTATTTATGTATTTGTTTTTTTAGTCTCTTTGCCATACTTATGGCGGCCACAGCAGCCATGTAACATCAGTGAGATTCTTGTATGACGATACAAGGCTCATTTCTATTGGAGGAAAGGATACAGCGGTCATGCAATGGACAGTCTCATAAACATTAAGATAAATTATTTTATATCGTGTTATATCATACCTACATTATTGGAGGATTAAAATTCTTGATTCGCACGGTGTTGTTTATTATAATAAAATATATATAATATATATTTTCGTCTGGAATTTGGGAGTATCCCAAAATAAGTTGAATTTTTAAAAATAAAATGTCAATAGGGCCTACTTTTTAACTAACACACTTGCATAGGAAATTACTGTCCTTTGGCACATTGTGATGCTATTGCATAAACGTCCTAATAAAAAACTAGTTTAATAATGTTATTGTATAAAGTGCCACATGTTTTATTATTGAAATATTTTATGTATTTCACTATTATTAAAAAAGTTTTTAATATTGTATACTATTTTCTTATGTGTGATAAATATAGACTACAAGATAAATATTTTGTTTTATTATCCCTTTAATTAAAATAAACATAAGGTTAAAAAGATTGAGTGATTTGGTTCATCACAGTATTGGGCAAATTGGACAAATTTTTATACATTACGATATTATTAAAAATTACGTTAATTATTTCATTCAATCGAATTTACTAATTTTAATTTGAGAAGGGCGATAATGCAGTGAGTGAGTCTACTAAGCCAAAACAAAATGCTTTTGACGATACCATAGGTGGGATTCCACGGTAGAATCTCACCTCTGCTAACCACTTTTCCACCATTGAGTAATGAAATTTTTTAATTATCGATTCTACGCCAAACAGGAGATCCCGTTAAAGAACAGAACATGTTCAATATCTTCTTTTATCAGAATCAATGGAAATCCAACGGAGGAACTAAGTAGTAGTCTGACACGTCTAAAAGTATGTGTAGTCAGAGATAAAGAAGGTTTTGTGTGTAGTCTGACATAATATTATAATATTGTATTATAATATTATACTTACCACACAAGTACTGTCTGTCCACTCTAAGTTGGCGGAACTAAGGAATTTTGTAGCTTAGATATTAAAGAATTGTCGTACTGTGTGCTTTTAAAACAGATTTTATATTATAAATAATACTAATACATATTATATACTAGTATTATTTATAATATAAAATCTGTTTTAAAAGCACACAGTACGACAATTCTTTAATATCTAAACAACAAAATTCCTTAGTTCAGCCACGATTGTGTGTGTATCGTGAGTTCAGCCAACTTAGAGTGGACAGACAGTAAGACTTACTGAGTAAGTACTTATATGTAGTCTGACATATACTTACCACTTACCACTTAAGTATATGTAGTCTGACTGATTTAGCGCCATCTATGGTTTGGTTTTAGTATAGTCTTGTAGTAGTTTTAAAGAAAACTTTATCTTGGTTTTGTTGTTATAATTCTTAACGTTAGAATGGGTGAGGTGTTAAAATACAGAAATAACAACAGCATTCGAAAATGTTATTATTTGAATTATTTTTTAATACATTATTATTATATATATTTTAATATTTTAAATATACGTATATAAAAAATGTACATAGAATGGGTGAGGTGTTAAAATACAGAAATAACAACAGCATTCGAAAATGTTATTATTTGAATTATTTTTTAATACATTATTATTATATATATTTTAATATTTTAAATATACGTATATAAAAAATGTACATTCAACATTTTTTCATGTACGTACACTTTTTTATACATTGTATTGAAGTTATAAAAACCTATTAAGTATTTGTTTTTAATACAGAGAACACCGCTTCATTTTTTCCAAACCTTTATGTTACACCCTGTAAATTAATAATATATGATTTTAGATCGAAAATCAGCGAGACAACGTTCAGCGTTATATAAACATTTTTCCTTATTAGACGCATATAAATATTTATATACATCCAATCCTTATTAATAGGGAAAAATTCGTATCAATGAGAAATTTCTCTTAGAGACCCTTGTGATTTTTTTCCCTAGCCGTTAATTGGTATTCGATTTTTATTTTTTAATCAGTGGTTTTTATCATTTTCTATAACATTAATAATAATATTAGGTAATTAATATTATAAAAAATGTTTCAGGCAGATAACAAATTTTATATTATAACAGTCATAGCCCAAATAGAAAGACTTTATAATTGAACGCGGGTCAAAAGTCAAATTACACCGTGCAACAATATTTGGGTCACCGCTTCCAGCCATAGATTACGCTTCCAGCCCATGCTAAATGAAAATAGTGATTTTATTGAAAAAAGTGAAATATAGGAAATCCCGACCAATGGCAGATTCACGAACGGAGTGATTATCCGAAGAAAGTGTAAACAATTGTGTGCCCCCCCCTTCTCAAAGTCCTGGATCCGCCCCTGATCCTGACATATGTGTTTTCTAAGTACAGAGCCGTAACTTCAGGACACAATTTTTTACGATATTTAAAAATTCACATCAATGCTTCAAGCTGTCAAACATTATTTTTTTATTATTGATTTTATAATTAATTTATGTTACCGTGTGTCCAAAAATGCTTGAATTTCGAGATACAAGGTGTTAAAAATTACCAATAAATATTTTTTTAAAAATTAAAAAAAAATTAGTAGCTAAAAATTAGTAGCTCAGTAAGGAAGCATTTTGGGACATTTGTTTGTATAAACCTTTTTTCTTAATGAATTGCGTCCTGACCGTATTTGAAGGATCAGGGCCGGATCAAGGATTTTGAAAATTTTTGCACTATTCGGATAATCACTTAACAATAATAATATAAATAAAAGTGGAATTTTGTTTTTTCCATATTTCGTTTTTTTTTTAATAATAATTTTCTTAATTTCATTTCTTTGATTTATGAATCCATTTATTTATTTTGACTTACAAATCTTGAAAATCGTTTTTTCAACAGTTTTTCCTAGAATCTGTTGTTTAGTAATAAGAAGCAACTAATTTAAAAGATTAAAAAGAAAATAATTGTTAATTAACCGCTTTTTCCCGAGGTGCTTAATTATAATTTATAATATTAAAGAAATATTTTTTTTCCAATTTTTTTTCTAAAACAATATAATTATAGACATGTTTTACATATTTATTATAAGTTTAATGAGGTTGAGGATTGAGGATCTGTTAAAAAATTACCACCTCATTTTTTCACAATTTAAAACCCAAATCGTTCAAATCACGGTGAATATTGAAATTAGCCAATCACTGATGCCTAACAACGTGAATAATGGTTTTGGTTTAAAATATAATTCCTTATATAACTTGTTTACCCCTATATTGATTAGGTAGGTTTTATTGCTAAACATGCTCCCTTTGGAGTATTTATGATGCAGACGTCTGGCACTCTAAACTTTAAATTATGCTTACAACGCATGTGTAGTGGAAGCACTTGTCTATTCGTTTATGAGCGTTCTTGACTGTTTTGCTAAATAAAATTTGCAGCCCTTGCAAACACAAGTTTCAAACCGTATTGACGCGTCATAGTAAACCCAATATTGATCAAAATCACCATGAAACCAAACTAAAACTTTGTTTAATTGTTTTTATAAAAAAACGGATCATTGGCCGTTTTATTACAATATGCGATTAAAGTTACATCATACTTTAATAGAATATATAAAAAAATAGTTTTACAGAAAGTTCGAGAATGATCACTCAGAACAGCGTGGAAAAATAATTTGGCGTTTTGAAATTAAAACTTTTTAAACTCCCAAATCATTACAACGAATAATTTTTTGTAACACGTGGGGTATATTATATTATATAGAGGTCAGCGCTTGACGCCCCATGCCGTTATGGCCCTACGGGCACTGATTTTTGCCAAAACTTATCTTATGATGAAATTTATTAAAGTGTTCTGTAATTAAATTTTACCAATTCGACCACGCTGATTTCAAAAAATCAAACCGCAGTTTCGTAACTCTTCGCGTTTGGAAGTTACACTCGAAAAACGAAATAATTTTTTCATAAGGGGGGACCTTGGTAAATTTTCTAAAGTTGCCCAATTAATTTTTTAACATGATTTCTTTACTAATTCGACCACGCTGATTAGTTTTTGCAAAAAAATATTTGAGCACGGGCTATAAAACTATAAATTATACACTCTAGCACAAGAATTGTTAGCGTTCCTGCTGTTCCTCCAATTGTAAATGTTGTATAAATAATTATTGTAAATGTAAATTAAAATAACTTTATTGGAAAAAGACGTCAAATGTATACATATATATTATATAATACTAGGCAACGCTGTAATTAATATATATATATATCCCCTATAGGGATGGGATTTTAGTTATTTTACCTTTTTTCATCCGATGTAACTATTTGAAAACCAATAATGCCAAAATGTGTTTTAAAAGATTTTCTTTTATATGAACCTAACTTGTTTTCACCTTTTTACCTTTTTTGGAGGTTTTTGCTTTAAACTACCTTTTTCATACTTTAGTTACCTATTTTTTTAACTTGTTTTCACATTTTTTACCTTTTTTGGAGGTTTTTGCTTTAAACTACCTTTTTATACTTCTGTTAAAATTTTTTAAATTTGTCAGTTTATTTTTACCTATTTTTACTTATTCTATTTTTTTGTGTTCTTTCTAAATTTTGCGCCAATATTTTATCCAGGGCGTGCAAATCAACGGTAAATAATTTTTTCTTATGGTCACAGACTGCAGTGGCGGCTGGTGGATTTTAAGTATACCAATATCTCAGTTATTAGACATGGGACCCACACCAAATTTATAATAGTTTATATTGACATTAAATAAACAAGTTCGGCGCAAACAGAATTTAAATTGAAGTTTGCGAAAAAAAGTTAGTTTTTCCTGTCGCCTACCCTGCCTCCAGGCCCCCCTATTTGAGATAATTCAAATTAAAGTGGTGCAATTTATTATCTACTATAATTTATCGACAAATTTAAAATTTTATTTAAAAAATCCAAATATTACAGTTTTTATACCATTTTAAATATTTTTTTATTTTAATAAAATAAATAATAAAAATTTAAAATCGAATAAAATCTGTAATATTTGGATTTTTTGAATAAAATTTTAAATTTGTCGATAAATTATAGTAGATAATAAATTGCACCACTTTAATTTGAATTATCTCAAATAGGGGGGCTGGAGGCAGGGTAGGCGACAGGAAAAACTAACTTTTTTTCGCAAACTTCAATTTAAATTCTGTTTGCGCCGAACTTGTTTATTTAATGTCAATATAAACTATTATAAATTTGGTGTGGGTCCCATGTCTAATAACTGAGATATTGGTATACTTAAAATCCACCAGCCGCCACTGACAGACTGTAACAGTAACTTTCTTTACAGTTACCTTCTTTGGAGTGAGCTTATGTGCTGTCATAGAACTTCTGTGTAGTGAGTGTCACTCAGTGAAACACAGTTTATTGCATAGAAATAGTTTATTGTGGGTATGTTCTGTGTTTGGGTATGCGGCTAAACAAAATTATAAACGAAACTTGAACTTT